TTATTCCGGCCAGACGTTCGTTCATTCGTTCAATCGCGCCCGAGACGATGTGCTCGACGTGCTCGAGATGAGTTCGATGTATATCTATATCCCATGGCCGTGTGCGGGGATTTAAAAACTTATCCCTCGACAAGCATCGCGCAGGGGCTAAGACGTCGTCTTTGCGCTGTCGTTCGCTCATCTTGATATGTCGCGCGATGTGCAATATAAGCTGCGACCGCACTCGCGTTTGAGGACAGCAAAAAAGTCGCCAGCCCCTGGATTAATCACCGAATCAATGAGAGAACTCTCGATAATCACCCCTGGATTTACTACTTTTTTTCGCAATTCTTTCAACGGGATTGCTAATCTCGAGTTAATAATTACTCTCAATGCTTTTACAAAGTCTGTCACTGCTTTTTACTTTGGTTGATTTATTTTTATATTTTTAATTAGGATAATTATAGTTTTAAAAATAAAACGGAAAATTCCGCTAGTTAGTTAAAAAAGAACATTTTAATGTACTTATATGTATTTAATTATTGAAATGAAATATAGAATGTTTTTTTGCGCAAATTTATAACCCCTAAAAAGTTTTCATTAAACCGCGTATTTAATGAAAGTTTTCTGTCGTTGCACTTATCGCGCGCGGTTTTACGTAAACGAATTTAATTAAATTAAAATGAAATTTTCATTTGAATTAAAAAAAATACACACTTTTGGAGACCAGCATATATTTGCTAAGCACTCGCGCTTGCACTCGGCGTGGCCGATACACAGTACGCGGCGGCGGCGGAGGCAGCGTATCAGCGAGGCGCACTCTCGTCGCGTCAAGACCGCGTGCACTGATTTAATTTAAAATTTAATCTCGCAATTTCTCCGCTTTACCTATGGCCAACGTCGACCGCGCACTTTTTGCGAAACTTTTTTCAGCTGCCTGCTAACTTTCTATCTCTGCGTGACGGAGGCTCATATGCTGTACATCAACATGTCCTATTATATAGGGTGTTGTTAATGTATAAAATTAAAATTTACACACTTTTTTCATTGGATTAAATAAATATTAAATTGTTTAGAATTCTAAGCTATTCGCTTGAGAATTTCATGCGTTTGAACGCTTTTATTTGTGATATTTAGAAGATGGACGGTTAGCGAAGGGTGAGGCATTCTGGTTTATTAGAAAGTTCAAGAATTGACCGCTTATCATAAATCCGTGCGGCCAGGCGGAGGCGGCGGCAAGTCGTTCAGCCGCAAAACGGCTGCGAATTTTCCGGACGGTCGCCTCCGGCTGCCGAACGACGATTACTCTACCACCCCTTGCAGCATATCGTAAAACCACACCCCTAATACCAAATATTTCCAAAACTTTAAACCACCAAACAAATTTTTAAAATTTTTGATTTTAAAATTAAAATAATTGATTATTTACTCTATTTTTATAACAATTTTTATATTTTAATAACAATTTAAAACATATAGTATATAAATAAACAAGCAGCTTTCGTTCAATTGGATTCGGCGATCCTTTTCCATGATGACTAAGAAAAGTTCTGCGCGTTGCCACTATCTGCAAAGAACACCTCGTCACAACCCCCCCACACACATGGGGATGAATTTCGTGTGGCACGCACGACTAGACGCGCCGCGTACACTGGCGTACTCTATTCGATAAAACTGGTAAATACACACATCAATCGTGCCATTCAATCTTGGAAATGCGCTTCCGCTCTGAGCCCGGCGCCTTCACCATCGTGCACCACACCAGCTAAACTGAAGGCCTGTGCTGGGCGACACATTTGCCGACGCACGTCTGTTCGTGACAACTTATATCTTTTACTTAACTTTATCCCAACGACGATGCGCGGATTGACATTGCAATATTTTTTGTGTTTCTTGTTTAAATTGCATTTACGTCTCAAATAGAGTGAAAATATAAAGATTCATAATTTATATTTTGGCGATTCATAAGTTGTAAAATTTGTTGTGTATCAACATAAACGAAATAGTATGGCGTAAGGCACTTTGGACGGCAAAGAAAAACGTAAGAAAGACGAACTTATTAAACTTTACCTATTAGTTTGTCGGCGTGTGCTTGGGCTCGTTACGCGCATGTTGCGCCTCGGCTAAAAGCTCTCTCATCGCTGCTAGTCGCGCTGTAACGAGCGTAATCTTCCTTTTATGCCTTGCTGTGGCCAATAGTTTATTATTATATCACAATATTTAGCTTGGTAGACCTTGCTCAAAATCAAATTATGAAAAATACAATCTTCTTAGTGCTTATGCTTATAGTCAACCATGCAACATTAAATAAAATTGGTAGATGCCTAAAATGCATGTGGAATAATAACAATATAAGGAAAATTGCATTTGTGGATTATTTTCTGTCAGGTTATTACTTTTTGTGTCGTGGAAAAAACATATTTGTTCTAAATTTGAAACAAAAATTTATCTTTTTAATTTCATTGATTCGGTTTTGAAATTGATTTTGTTACAAATTTAATTAATAAAAACCAACAGTTTTTAATTAGTTTTTGTTGATATGTCATTGTTTCTGACACATTGTGTTTGATTCATGTTTTTCCGCCGAATCCGAGCCAATAATCGCAAACCGCAGGCCCATACATCAATTACTATCGCCCGCACACATTTATTACCACGTGTCAACGCTAACTCCAGCCTGGCCCCCCGTTATGGCTTCTTTTCTCGGCCCTTTTGCCGCCCCAGCCCATAAACCGTAATAGCCAGCGAGTGTTAAATGTGTGGTTAAAACCTATTTGCGACTCCGCCATCATCATTGACGAAATTTATACCGCGCCCCGAAAGCACGATATGCGAATCGAACAACAACAACGTAGCGGTTCGCCCTGCGACGACAAAATATCCAGATGCCATTAATAACCGGAATGCGGACCACGGGCCATTATGGACCATAAACTTCTTTTTCTGTTAATGCTTAACTGTTGTCGGGGTACTGGTTCTTGGTAATCGGGGTGCACTGTGCTGAAATTGAAATATCAAGCTCTGCAGCCAACCACATAAATGAATAGCATCAAAACTTCTGGTAGCACTCAGTGTAAAGGACGTTGCTAGGCATATCTCTTGTATATCGCATGCCACTTGCCGCAGCGGTTAATATCTATAAATCAACCACTTAACTGCATTCAACACAATGCAATCCGCAACTAACCAAGTCGAATTGTGCCGAAATGGCACGCTCATGTTATCGTTTTAATGTGCGCTACAGCAGTTGACCCAAATCAAAATAATTGCCAACCAACATTTTATTGAATCTCTTAAAGTTCAAATTGCAAATTTTAGTTAATCAAACTGTGATATGTTTTTGTTTACGTTTAAAATTTTACTGTAATGTCTGCCCCTCTGCAGCTCATAATTAATGAACTAATGAAATTATTTGTAAACCCATTGTGCTGTATTTCCTATACAAGTCCGTTTCGGGCAAGCCTTTAATAATTTCACAATGTGACATAAATCACGAATTCATGCCGGCGGCCACCGCGTGCGCCTGGGGGCTTTTCGCGCCTCTTTGCGTACCGCCCACCTCTCTCGGCTAGCGAAGGGCTTGATGGCGAAAACCAGGAGACAATTGTGTGTAATTTGGGTGCGCAGTCTTTGCCATTCTGTGTGCGGCATTCACAGATTCACAATTTGGTGTTTGTAATGAAGCCGTGTGACCGACCAAAACCGGTGTGGTGTATAAAGAAATACTCACAGGTTTTTGCCGCCCGCGTGTGAACATTGAACATGCGCGTCGAGAGGAGAATACGAGAACACCCTCAACGACCGCGTGGTCGACCAGCGTGTATTTTCAGCGGGATGCAGAACAAGGGAGGTTATTAATACAAAGGGAGCAAATGAGAAGTCGAAAGATCGGTGATTTATGATTGCCGTTCGGCGGCGGCCAACACAACGGCAGTTAATTAAATTTGAATGCATTAAATAGTTAAAACACAATTGTCATCATATTTGTGAATAAGATATATGAAATTTTTTTTTAAGATAATAATGAAATTATTATCAATCAATCAATCAATTCTTACATTATTTTTAAAATTTCTATATAAATTTTAGGAAAAAAACAAAACTAGTATAGCTGAAAAATAACAAATCCAATTAATTAATAAAATTTATCAATAAATCCAATTAAAAGCGTTTGCTCTCTCACTTGTCCGCTGGCGTCCTGCTGACGCTGCAATTTGTTGCATCCGCAGCGTTTTTCAGTGACCGCGTTGCGCTCTGATTCATTTCAGTGCATTTCGTCGCTTTTCACACGAATTCTCGTTCGACTACTGTCACTGTTGCTGTTCTTGTTGTTTCACGTGACATTTGCCCAAAAAATCCAGATACACATAGAGTAGTGCAATTATTCTACCGTATAAAATAAGATAAACACGAAAATAATTAAAAACAAAATGGTACAAGACGCTAAATTAGCTCATCTTATATACTCACAGGTAAAAACAGAAAAATACACAAAAATATAATTATTTTAATAGCACAAAAGAAAACACACGTCTAAAAAAGTAATCAACTTGAATTAAATTCGCAAAAGTTTGTTACAACTAGTTAGATGCTATTTGATGTGTTCAGACCAGTCTAGACTTGACTTTGAGGCGGCAGACTATTCCCCGTTCTAATTTATCCTTGCAAGCGGTATGCCAGTGGCACGTAAGCAACGCAACGCACCGTGTCCGCAATATAAAAACATACCGTACGGCCGCACACACGCCGTGGAGGCGGCAGAACACGGCAACTTGGGGAATTGTCGCCGCGCCGCCGGCCCCGTAGTCCCACCATATGTTTGCTGATGCGATAGCGACACGCACATGTGCCCACGATGACCAGGATCGTACTCAAACCGTGAAATTTATGAAAGATATAAAATAAAATTACAAGATATGAAAATATTTAAATAAACTCTGATAAGATTAAAAAATTAATGTATACTTATGCTAATATTAATTTGTTTCTTTTTTTTTTTCGTTAAAATAAAAACAGCGTAGTTCGGGTAAATATTTTTAATTTATGCAAACATCAAACATACACAGGTTGCCATTTGTGAGGAACTTGTTTGGGAAAAATAAAAACTCGCTGAAACCCGCTGACATTCAAAGCAGAAAACGAATGCAATGTCATGAGACTCGCTTTCCTTTCCTGCTTGCCTCGCCGCTAATTGCCCAACGAGAGACCCTTTGCAGATGTTTGCTGGTCGTTCGCTTTGTCCTTTACGACACTTTCGCGTTTGTTGCGGGCCCACCTCCGACTGCTCCACTTCTTTTCATTCTTCTGCGCTCTCTTCAATTATACAACGGGTGCCAGGCGACCGCAATAACCAACAAAAGTTGTACACTTTATAAAAAATTAAAACATATGCCTACAAAATAATGCACAGAATTTTTTTTTGTTAAATTTACAAATATTATTTTAATAAAATAAAATATAACAAACAAAAACATTTTTATATGTTATAAAATTTCCCTTTTAATTTACCTGTCCAAATTTGTACGTGCTCATTTAAAATTTCAAATCCTTTTGCAACTCTCAGAAAAATGCCGTCATACAAAAAAAGTTAATTACCACAGCGGCCAAGGGCTTTCCACATGCACGTCGCAAATAATTTCCCCCACTGCAAAGATCTGAGTCAATACGAAAATTTTAATTCCGACGCGCTCATCAACCGCCCCCCTCATCTCCGCGACCCTTTTTCTTCTGGTGTGCGTACTTAATTACACACTTTATATAAATTCAGCGGGCGCGCTCTCGCGCAGAGCGGAAAAAGATTAACGAGGAAATGTGCAAATAACTCAACGACACAGCGTTTTTCATTCGGAATGGAAAGCTCCCACCATCACCGCCACGGCGGCGGTCGCTCGTTGCGCAGTCATCGCGTATACTTACACGCTCGGAGGCAATTACTTGAATAAACAACGCGAGTGCACATGCAAACACACTCGCACTCGTGAATGAGCTGGCGATGGGAGAGATAGAAGGATGAGAGCATATAAAAATAGCAAGAGAAAAAAAAACTAATCGGTGCGTCCGCATACACGACACGTCCATTTTCATGCGATTTCGACTCGGGAGTTGAGGCTGTTATCAAGATATACATCTGCTGTGTGTGTTTACTATATGTATAGATAGATATAAATGTATGGTAGGCGGCGGCGCGGCGATGGCAGCTAAACGAACTAAATTAAACCGCAATTTCGTCCTCTCGGCGAAATTGATGCGAAAAATATTATCTCGGCCGTTACACTCCCATAACTTCGCATCTGTAACATAGTGCACAGTTTGGAAAACTGTGCGTCGCTAATAAAAGTCCAAGCGGGAAAACAGAAATAAAAGCAGCGTTTTATTTTCGTTATTTACGCCGCCATCATAATTCGTCTCCAAAGCGGATGAAGTTTCATAGTCGCGGAACGGAAAAACAAATATTATAGATATTTATTAATTAGTTCATTACCAATCAACTTATTCAATTTATTTATGCAGAAATATATTTAGTATTATATTCGTTACATGTTTGTAAAGAATAATTATGAAAATCAATTTTAAATCAAAAGCTAGAGCCATATTTCAGTAAATTTTGCCGATTTTTGTTTAATTGAACTTTAAATCATTATAACTTTTTATTTAATTATTTTATCTACATCATTTTTATACTAAGAGACGTTGAATTATTATAAAATAAATTTCTGCAAATATTTTAAATTTAAGTCAAATAGTTTTGGAGTAATTTGCAAAAAACTTTATTTATACTGTAAGCACTTCGTTACCACGTAACGTAGCTGTGACTATGTTATGCAATACAATATCTTGAGTCTGCTTTGTTTCGTTTCGACTGGTAAACAGTTTAATTTAATTAGCGCATTTTTCGGCCAATGAATGGCGAAAAAACGAACCGAAACGCGACCCGAAAACATCGTCTGCATTTCGTCCGGGCTGTTATTATCTTTTTATGCGCGTCTTTATTCTTGCTAAGTAGCAATTTTCTCCGCAGCGCGTTTTGATACGACCCGGACGCAAGACGCAGCGAAAACAAAAGCAAACAAAAGCACCAAGACAATTGTCTGGTGCGCGTCTTGGCGTCCTTTCTTAATCGCTCGGTTTGCGCGCATCGCTTGCAAATTGGCACAGTTGATCAGCGTCGTTTAGCGGAAAACTAGTGGAAAATTAAATTCGCCTAATTAAGAAAACGGCGGCGCTCGCGCTCGCGTAAATAACGCAATAACGAGCGTGACGCCGTCGGTGGCGTGTGCGTTCGTCTGTAAATAAAATTACAAGTGCACTATGTTTAAAATTAAGTCGGTTACTTAGTTAGTCGCACTTTTGCTAGTCGCGCGCGTGATGGCGCCGATTTTCCACTTTGCAACTGGCGAAACCGGAAAACGGGAATATGAAAACGTTAAGTGTTTATAGCGTTTGCCGGCGGCAGGCGAGCGAGCAAAGGAATGCGAAAATTGCGCGGAAATTAGCGCAATCGAAATGCGAAACGGAATTGTTTAATTAAAATTAATTTCGTCATCCCCGATGCGCATTGCTGCATGTGCAGAATTAATTAATTAATGTACGAATACCAGGGCATTAGGTTCACGTCTTGTTTGTGCTCATCAATAATCAAAACTTTAATTTTAATTTCATGCTATTATTCTACTGTGATCTAATTTTGCAAATATTTTGTTGTTGTGTTGTGGATATTGTATAGAAAGTCATTGTCTTTGTTGTTGTGTGTTACTTTTAGCTGATAGTAGTAGTTTCTTGACAAAAAGTTTTTTTGCGTTCGTCCAAGCAGAAAATTGGATTCAACTTTTTACGCCCCCACGACGCGCGTGCACGCGCCATGTATTTCTTCGACTAGTTTTCGGCCTCCACCGGGAATGCCCCTGACGTTTATATCGCGCCGCAGAACGCTGTGCTCGCACATAAATATCGCCCGGAAACACTTAAACCGAATAAAGTATCGAAATGTGCAATATGAGAAAATTGTTGCGAGCGTGCGTTTGTTTCGCACTGCTGCATGTCACAAAATTGCATTCCATTTGTTTTATTGCACATTCAAGTATTGTCAATGTGCATTTTAATAAAAACTAAAAATTCATTGTTTATTGTGACACCTTGTATATTATGAAGATGACAACTAGCAATTTGTGTGGCCTTTTTAGTTTAGCGCCAAGTTTCGCAGGAAAACACGTAGATTTCAAGCGGCGACGAGAAAAATGCACAAGAAATGAAAGCGCTGCCGTCAGTGCTTGCGTATAGTTCGGAACATTCGTTCGGCGAGTTTATGACGAGCGCTTGCATTTGTCAGCTGCGTAATGTAACGGCAGGCAAGTTTCGAGGCGGCAGCAAACTTAGCATAATGCAGCCGCCCAAGTTTATTCGGCGGTAAGTGTACAATAACAGTAATTGTTATAGGTAAAGTTAGGGGCGGCGCGCCGCTCGCTGATTTTATATTCTTGGTCTGTTTAATACGACCTCGAGCATAACTCTTCGGTCGGCGAGTTCCAGTAGCAAAGAGCAGGGGTGCAACCAAACTGACTTTACAAACTCGCTTACTTGGCAAATCAAATTTATGAATGGAGAATATAAAAGTAACCACCAGTTTACTTAGACTTTTGATCACGTTAATAATTTCCGATTAAAATGTGAGAATAACTTCTTTTTATTGGTGTGGTGGATACACTCTGTATATCTTGATGGTGGTTGTGGTTTTTGAAGTTGGCGAGTTAAACTTGTGCTCGCGTCAACTTTCGGGTACTTTTCCCCCGTCGAAGGCGGCATTGAGAGACGAGAGCCGCACGGGCAACAGCTCGTGACGGGTGGCGGCGGCTGCCGTCCCCGACAAACGATTCCGCCACCTGCCGCCATTATCCTGATTGCGCCGCCGCCACCACCGCCGCCCGGTTCGGCAGAGTCACCTGAACTCTCTGATTGATGGTCCTCTTAGCACTTACATGATTACAACGCTCTTCGCCTCTTCCGCACGTCTTCATATGGCGCACAATGGCGCACAAGACCTGCATCTACGTCTTTCTGCCCATTTCTCCTCGAGAGGGAGCGGAGAGTTGTCACGAAATTCCAGCATCTTTATTACTACAATATATTCTTTTTATTTTTCTTCCTGCTTGTGCGCCGAGAACATTGAAACATCGAAAATGTGACTATATGTGAAGAGACCTGTAGAAAGGTTGGATGTTGAAAACGACGTGGACGTGGACAGAGACGGGGATGCGGAAAAAGTCATTCCAGTCAAGACGAGTCAAAGCGTTAGCCATGGGAATTGAACTAAAAGTAACGTAAAGTATAAAGGCGAGATAAAAAGCGCTCGTCTTTTGACGTCTCGCGCGCGTGGGCGAAACTAAAATAACACAACCGGTCTCTGCCGCGCTTCCATCAGAAAGTTGCCAACTAAATTTCGCTTCAAGTTAAAGCATTGTAAATCTAATATAGAAAGTGTTTCTAATCAAACGTAGGAGTTTGCCAACAGCGCCCACCACGGCCACAAAGCCGGAAGGCAAGACCCCAAAAGAAAATACGAAAATTACCGTCGACAAAGTTCAAGTTTATTTTCACTTAATTTTCAGACATGTTTTCTTTCATTTACTTCACATAAGATATCAAAATATATATTTTTTAAATTTTCCCGAAAATAATAATTTATTATTGTATCCCGAATGGAATTCACAAGAATCTGAGGCTAACAATGACCATAAAGTGTACAAGTTTGCAGCATACCTTCCCGCTGAAATATTGCGTCTTCCCTTCCATTCATAAACTTCTATTATCTAATAATCCGTAACGGGAATAGTAGTAGTGGAGGAACATAAGTAAGTACACCTCAGAAATGTTACAGTAGAGTGCTAGGGTACCAAGGAAGTAAGGAAAGTAACTGAAAGGCGAATTTACGCGTAAGGTGGAAGGTAGAAGACCCGAGCCTCGTAAACCTAACACAATAACAGACTAATAAAAGTACCTTGATGTAATTCCAGGAGGAAAATTAAGGAGTAACAAGATATATGCGGGTGTATAATGTTAATTTCTAATTTGTGTATTCCGCATATAAGATCAACAATAAAATCGTCTTTCATTTTTGCTCTGCATGAATTGAATGAATGACAGTGAAAAGCAGAAACGTTTTCTTTCCGACACGTCAAACACTAGTGGCACAACAGGCAGTCGTCTTGCGTTGTACGCGGCCCCTTCGTTCGCGCACAATAATGGTGCGTGTAATTACTTAGCGTCTTTTAATATCTCGACGGTGGCGGCAGTGGCGGCGATGGCGCGAGAACCGCTTCCTCGTCATCCGCATTCTCATCGTCATCGCTTCCCTGAACATTCAGAAACGTTGACGTTCCCCATGCCGTCGCACATCGAGGAGCTATTACTTGCGTTGAAATATAGGTATGGGTTGTGTAACGGTGCGCAAAGAGCAGGAATGCTGGTGGGTGGAAATTCACGGAATGAATATAATAGCGCTGTGAGGAAGCGATGAAAAAAGTAATTTCTCTTATATTCATCCATTCATCGGCGTTTTTTCCTTGCTTACGTTTTATGTAAATACATACATAGATTAATTCACATATAAAACTCATAAAATTTATTAAAACTCACAAAAAGTTGAAATAGATTTTTGACAGTTTAATTAAAATTTTACTCTGTGTAGTTTTTCTATATGTATAAAAATAATATTTGATCAATTATACTTTTAAATAAATTTATTTCATTTTGATGTAGTTTATGTCTGGTTCTGGCATTTTAAAAATAACAAACTAAGCGCAAA